GCGGGGAAGGGGAGGGGAGGGAAGCGGAGGGGAGGGAGCGCCGCCGACCCCGCCCCCACCCCGCCCACCCCCACGCTGGGCTCCCGGCGGGAAGTTGGGACGCGCGGGGCTCGCTCTCGTCCGGGGTGCCCCCGGCTGCGCAGCTCCTGGAACAGGAGTCGAACAACTTTTAGAAAACTAGGAATTCCTCTCTCTTAGGTTTGATAAAAGCCCCAGAGTTGAGCTAACACAAAGCCCGCCCAACTTAACCGGGGTTACCCCCCACCCCCACCGCGTTTCTTTCTAAAGGCTCTGAGATTGCTGGTAACAAAAGGACTAGTGTTTCCCCAGCCCCTAATACCTTTATATAATCAAAGGTGGTTTTCTTGGAGTCAGAAAACTAAGCTATGGGGGGAAGGGGGGGAGAGAAGCTCCGGCTCTTACCAGCCCGCAGCTTTCAGCCACGTGAGAAATTTTGATTTCACCAGTTTTCTTCTCTCCCAAGGCAAGATGATAAGGCAGTGTAGTCAGTTTATAGCTACAAAGGTTAAGGTAGGTTTCTAACTCAAGGCACCCTAGAGTTCCACGTTGGGAAAAAAAATGTTCAAAGGTCTAACAGCCAATGTGTAAAATACATGTGTCACGTGGAGCCACTCACTGAGTTCATCAGGCCAAATAGCAAACCCCGCGCAAGAATTTTGCTTCTGTTTCTTTTTGTTATGTTGTGCGGTATTTTCAGAGAGGCCAACAGAACATTTTAATCATCTCCAAATGTCCGGCATCTGAGTTAGGTGGGTGTATCATCTAGTGCTGCATAACAAATTAACCCAAAACTGAGAAGCTTAAAACACAAGTTTCTGTGGGTCAGAAATCCAGGAGCCTCCTGGCTGGCTGCTCTGACCCAAGGTCTCTCTTGAGGTTGGGTTCAAGCTGTCAGCTGGGGTGGCAGCCATCTCAAAACTGGAATGGGGCTGAAGGATCCATTTCCAAGCTCACACACACAGTTTGTTCCTTGCAGGCTGTTGGACTCCGGACTTCGGGTTCTTGCTGCATCATGTGGTCCTCTCCATAGGGCTGCTCATAAAATGGCAGTTTGCATCCCCCAGCACAAATGATCCAAGAAAGAGCATATGTCCACGAAGGAAATCGGTCATTTTATAAACTGATCTCAGAAGTGACAGCCCAAAACTTCTGCTGTATTCTGTTCATTAAAATGCGAGGAAATAAATCCAGTCCACTCACAAGGCAAGGGGGATTACACACGGACATGACTGCCAAGAGGAGAGGGCCGTGGGGGTGAGGGAGATGTCATCTTTTTGTTTCTCCTTCCAGGTAGGGTGCAGGGGGGAAGCCAAGAGTTCTAACAGCATTCTAACAGAGACTACCTGGGTAATTGAAAAGGGCCTTAGGAGCATCTTAGGGAGCATCTTCATGCTTTTGAGCAGTGATTGATATTCCCTACAGAAATGGGGCACCTGGGTGGCTCAGTTGGTTAAGCATCTGCCTTCGGCTCAGGTCATGATCCCAGGGTCCTGGGATTGAGCCCCGCATCGGGCTCCCTGCGCAGCGAGAAGCCTGCTTCCCCCTCTTCCACCCGCTCTCTCGTTTTCTCTCTCTCTCTGACAAATAAATAAATAAAATCT